ATATATATGATTACTATTGGTGGCAAGCAGTGGCTATCATATTGAAGGTTTGTAGAAGAACGTTTTGGAAATTTTGAGTCACAAATGAGCACAGTGGATGACTGTAGTGGACGATGGTTTGACAGTGTAGTATGTGATACAACTCTCAAAGGTGTCCATGGGCAAAAGGGCTAAAGGCAGTAATAGTTATGGTAAAGTTGTACTGGTGTTTGAAAGGAGTGTGGACATTTTGGTTAGGGTGTTTGTTTTGGGAGATGTGTGAAGGCCAGCAGAGAGGAAATACCACCTTTCACCTCCCTTATTTTCTTATTTCTTTGTGTTAGAAAGAATCCTTATTTCCTTAACTGGATAGTTGTTGAGGGAGGAAATTTGTCATGTCCATTCCAAGAGATTTTAACATCTTGAAGGGATTTTGCTTTCTTATGTTTTAATAAATTGGTATTTAGTAGATGCTGAATGGCCCCTCCTATAAGGAATAAATAGGAGCAAAAGGGATGTTTGCAGGAGATAATTAGTTCACTTATTATTGTGAACATTTGCTTATCTGAGTTCTGCCTCAAAGAGGCTCCTTGCCAGGTATTTCCTTTTACAGCATTGTGACTGGAAGTTTTTGGCCTGGCAACTATCTAAGGACTGATAAGATCTGTTTTTGCACTTAAACTTTGGAAGGATTATTGCTGGGATTTTTCTGGGTGTGAATGCCAGAAAGTTACATTAACCAAATAAAAAGAATTTTTTTGGGAGGGATGAGAAGTCTGCTTCGTGATTCTGTGCAGCCTGGATCAGAACAGTCTGCTGAAACATGAACTGACATATAATTTCATAATGTGAACCACTGTAGTTGGTCCTGTTTTTACTAACCTGCCTTCAGAAATGTGCTTTCCTCAGTGGTAGATAAAGAATATCAATTGAGTATAGTTTTTCAGTAAAGAATATATATCTGTGCCTGAAGACTACGAGCTGAATTCATAAGCCACCTGCAGACTAACTGCTCTTTTTTTTTCCAGGCTGGAATGAAGAAGACAGCAATCTTTGTTGATTCTTTCCTCTACCTGCAAATTTTTATGTCATCTGCCTCCCCATCTGTTCTGACGTTTTGGGTAATTTTCAGAACACTGGAGGAGATTGTGTTAATGGCTCCAAAGGGAATCAGTGAAAATTGCTTTGCACTTTTCCAACTGGAGAATATTCAGAGTGGAACTTATCTTTAGAAACTCCACTGCTGGCAGAAAAGTTGCTGAACATAGAAGCTCATTTAGTTGTTTTGAGGAAACAATACTACAGTACACATTTGATCCTTAACTAAAACAAGTCGAGGATGAACAGTAGGTAGCTTTAAATGATTACTATTGTTGCAACTTGCACTATTGAGTAACATCTCAAGAACTTTCTGGAACTGGAACAAATAGCTAGTTAGAGTGAATACAGTATTTATCAATATGAATGTGCATGAAATGGTTCTGCTTTTAGTTATAACGATGAAGAATATGATTTGGAAGACCTGAAAAACTAAATGAGGGACAGGCTATCATGGAGAAATTTATTACTGCAATACACTGTACATGGGGCTGCCCTGGAAGTGCATTAGAAGCTTCAGATGGTGCAAAATGTAGCAATGCAGGCAGTTTTGAGTGCATGTTGTTCAGCATGTATGACATCTCTGCCTCATAAATTATAATTCTATAAGTATCCCAGCCCTAATCTATGAAGTACCTTAAAAGGCTTTAAATCAGCAAATCAGCTGCATCCATTAGATCTGACAAGAATAACATGCTCTGGGTCCCATCCGCAAAGGAGCGCCATCTATTGGAACACTGGAGGAGAGGTTTTTCTGTCCTGGTGCCCACCCTCTGGAACAACATACCCTCAGAAATTAGATCCGCACCCTTCCTCTAGGCTTCTTGCAAGGCACTAACTTTGCCATCTAGTCTGAGTCCTTGATACTGTGGATGAACTCAGGGCTTGTTTGAGTCTTCTCAGCTGCTGGTTTTATGTTTTTTTTAAAAAAAAATCTGTTTTTATTGTTTTTTTTTATTCTTCTAACTATGAGTTACCCAGGGTCATATATATATATGAGTTGGGCAGCCTGTCAATTTACTAAGTAACTAAATCTAGGTGTTCAATTGAGTTAATGATGTGATGGCCTACAATCAATTGTTTTGATGAAATTAATATTAGTTTATGCAATAAGCTATTTTGGAAATGGCGCTATGACTGTTTTCTCCAATGCTTTTTAGAAAGGCATTTTTGGTAGCTTTTATTACAAATTTGTTTTAATTTTACTTTTAATATTAGTAATAATATTACTAATAACAGTAGTCCTTGAGAGTGCTTATCAGATGGAAAGTCAGCAAACGTCAATCAAGAACATATTTTTGTGCTTCAGTGATCATCTTGGCAAAAGAAATAGACATGTTGTTTGTTCTAACATAATTACTAGCACTCATAAAACAAGCAAACAAAAATAAAGAAAAAATAAGATTCACATTTTAAAGACAATCTGACCATTGAAATTGCTGGTGATTAGCAGTGGCCCCAAATCTGTCTTTTAAAAAATAAATGCTATGTGAAAGTAGCTTCATTCTTTGTAAAGGAAAAAGGTTTTCCTAAATTCCTTTCAGTGGTGTTTTTATTTATCATTGAAAATGGGAGAACATTATGTGTTTTGGTCTGCAGCTTATCTTTTCATTAGTTTGTAGCATTTTTAGCTGCCTCCCTTTCTTGATGTTAAATCAAGATTTGTTCCCTTGACTTTTTACTAAGCGATGGGAAAATTGGCTGCTACAAATTGCTGTAGAGATGATTGTACAATCAGATAAAACACAATCTCTGCTCAATCCATAATGGAGGCAAGTGCAAAATTCCTGCACTGTCACCCATAAAAATTCAACAAGAACTTTCTATTCCTATGAAAGGTATCTCAAAATCAGTACCTTTTGTATCAGAATTAAATGAGTGATCAAAAAATGTAGAAGAAATTCCTGAAGCAACTTTAGATCTAACAACTGATCAATCTGTTATAATTCAGTTAGGGAGCAAGAGAACTTTCAGGCAGAATTCAAGTTTTTATTTATTTATTCAGAGATTCACATTTCCTATGCCATGTTGGCCAATCAAAGACCTATTTATCTTGAAAACACCATTCATGCAATTTATTATCACATTACTAAGAAAAACACTGAAGCTAGGAATCACTTTAAAGTAATTAGGAGTTTCTTACACATTACTAGCCTTGTGTGACTTAAGCTTTAGAAACTGTGAACTGATGTCTGGATTCATTGCTAGTCTGGAATACATTTAAACAAGGGGAAGGAAAACTATCTTAAAAGGGTGTTGGTAACTGTCTTGTTTTGGATGGAGTTGGATTCAATTAGCAACTTCATTAGAATTCTGAGATAATGGAAAATAACAAATGGTTTGTGGTATTTTTTGTGAAGCTGTATTCATGGATGAATATATTTGGGTGTATAAAAATTAGTCAGTTCCACAAATGGAAACCCTTCATACAAAAAAAATAAAAAGATTAAAAACTGCCTGTGTTTTTTTCAACAAGCAGAAATGTATACTTTGGGCATGTGATTCAAACAGATGACAGACTAGAATTTCACAAGATGAAGGGAGAAGAAACAGCACAAAATGTAAGGTGGACAGCATCGAGAACCTGGAATGTCCCTGGAACTGCTGTAAATTACCTACATGGTCATCAGAGGTCAGACTCAACCAGATGGTGTCATTCAATAAAGCCTGTTTCTATTTTCTTAAATTGTATGCCTAGTACATTCCACTGTTGATTTAAAAATGCTTGGTATCCAAAGGTATTTTAAATGTCATTTATTCTATGTGTGTCACTCTGCATTTGTATGTGGAAAATTATACACAAAATAGAGAACTCTGGAAAAAGGAAAATATATACTTTATTCAAAACAATTCTGGCATCAAAGGAATTTATGAACTAATAACAAAATACTGCACTGAATGAGTACAGCAACTCTTCCAGTTTGCAAATTGTATTCAACAATCTTACCCAATTTCTCATTCTCTCATTCCCCAAATTGTAACTCATTCAACAATGACATGTAGTAAGAACTGTAAGTTACAGCATGGAAATAAATTCCTGCTAGGTAAGAATTGCATGGTATCATGTGTTATGTTTAAGAATCAGACTACTTGAAAGTTAATTAATTTTCTAAAACTAAAACCAGATATACAACATCGAATTGCATTGCCATACAGATTCTTACATTCTATTTTTGCAGTAAGTGGACTTTTGTTAGAATTTAGGGATTCTCGGATAGCGTGCTTTTGTTTTGTGTGTGTTTTAATAATATTGTATGAAAATAAATATTCAAGGCTTAAACTATATGATCGGAAGTAACAGAATCAATTTTGTTTGCATTCCAATTTAACTTTTAAGAAAATTTAATTGATAATTGATACTAGAATGTTCTGTGTCAAATGAAATGGCTGTCTTGATAGATTAACTTGACTTTCACCTGTTTCTCTTCCAATGAAGAAAAATGCAATTGTAAAGCTGCCTGAAATTTACTGTAAGACTTTCAAGATTTGGATTTTTTTAAAAAATGAAAAATACATTCAATGCAATGCAATGATTCTATTGTCTTCTTGAAAATAAATGCAAATTGGAGACCAAATCCAGCCCTTCATTTATAAGCAGAAAGTGTAGGTATAATTCTACCTACTGGTCCTGTATCAATCCATTTTTGGATTACGGCTAAGGAATTGAATGGGATAGTCTTGGGAAGGAGAAACAGTGGGGACCGAACAGCTTATATCGGAAAAGGAACAATTTATATGACTCCAAAACTTTCAAAGCTGAAGTGATCCTTTTTATATTTCCCTTGACATCACATACATGCCCCGAAGGAATGGAGTTTGCAGCCCTCTGTTGCTTTGGTAACTGACAAAAACAGGAAGTTTCTGTGGATGCCCATCGATATATCCATTATTTCCAGTTCCATCCAAAATGCCATACAATACCTGGAGCTGAGGCCTAATATATGGGAATTATTTTTTGAGATGGATACTAACACTCACTGTGTTGTATATTACCCTCAGATCCTTTGACCGTGCAGAGATCAGGTACTGGATCATGTCTTGTGTTATGCACATATAGCTTCAATATAAACTATAGCAAACATAATTAATCATATCTAAGACTCCCCAATAAACTATGCTAACTAAATACTTCCTTGGAATAGTAAAAATAACCTATGTATTGAAAGTAAAGTTTAAAATACAGAGTTTCTTACTTTCCATATGCATTTACCATAGAAATATACTTTATAATTCTACAAACAACATTCTATATTAAAGCTTTCAGTCTGCAAATCATTCTGATTTTAGCATGGCAAAACCTATGTTTTGGTTCTTTATGTTTCCCTTTTTAGTGAAAGAGGAAATAGTGGTTGAGTAATGAAAATCAGCAAAAATAATTAAATGCAAATGATACAAACACATTTATTTAGAAAAATAAACTGAAAATGCCTATTTATCTGATACATTTTCCATGTAGAACAGATTTTTAGCTATAAAAATGTCATATGTCAAATATGTAATACAAACATGTTTTCTTCCTTTATAGTAATTGGGAAGTTTCTGTCAGTATTCATTAGGAACATATCAGTTATCTTGGTTAATTTCTTTGTTGTTACACTGATACAAAAATGTATTAAAATTAGATTGATTCTAAAATCCATGTTAGCTTGTTGATGCTTTTTTTGTTATCATTATTGTTATCTCAGTTCTAAGAGCAAGTATTTGCTTTCTCAAAGATTCCAGCTGCAAAGTGATGGAGGGACTTTATGTTTTCTTCATTTTTGTACACAAATTTATTTATTTTTTGCTCTCAAACTCTCAACATACATCTTCTTGTTGGCTAAAATTTCATGTGGCCATCTGTGCAAATAATGGCTTACATCATTCCCCTGAATGAAAGCGACAGTGCAAATATTAGAAGTGCATTGAGCTGCATGCTGTAACAGTTGAATTGTTTCAGCAAAGGACAGGAACCAACCTTTTCCAAGCATTTTAGCATCAACTTCTCTCTTCTATGGCTTTGAATTTGCACAGGAGACAATAATAGCCTTCTCTTCCACACAATAGGCATTGGCATCGCTTGATCCATTTAAGTGCTTCCAACTTTCATTTTGCTACATCTATTTAACACATTTGGCTGGATCACAGGAATGCTGTTCGGCAATTGTTGTTTCTGCAATGGGTCACAAAAGTAACTGACTTCCGTTTCTTCAATCAGAGTGCATGGTGCTTAAGGCTGTGGCTTTTGTCAGGACTCAGCTCATAGCTGCTAAATGAGGCCGGTGTAGTAATGTAGATGGCACCAGATATCAGTTGTGCTCAGGCTCAAGGGTCCTCATGCTCTAAGGAGAGTCGATGTTGTTATTATGTAGTATTGCCTGAAAGAGGTTGCACTGTCAAATCTGTCATAGGAGAACTGGTTATTGTGTCATCAAATATTCAGATACCTTCTAGCCTGAAGGAGCTGCAACAGAGAAAATAAAAAATAAAGTTAATGATACCAAATAAACCAAATAAATAAGAGGGTACCATATGATCAATTACATTTATTTTCCTTTGGAAAATTACTGCTCATGTTGCTCAGAAAAAAATGCAAAACTACTTGGAATCCTTTGAAATATGTATATGGCATGAAATAGTAGCTTTATTCTTACTGAATGTTTAACTCAGTAGCAGGGGCATAAGCTAGGAACATTAAACTAAGTAACGGAAGACCACAGTTGCTTTTCAGTCATCTAAAGCATAGATGTCTTAAGAACATGCCTTTATATTCATAATAATAAAATAGTTATTGTCGAGTGGCAGTGATAGGAGCACAGTGGCTCACATGGTTAGTAGCTGGATTGATAAGCAATAAGCCCGTATTCGAGACTTGAATGCTGCTGTGGGATGGAGTGAACTCCTGTCATTCACTTCAGTTCCTGCTAGGACATGAAAGAGACCCCCAACTGGGCATCCCCCCATGAAAGGTTAATCCTTTCAACCTAGAAGCTTCTGACAAGAGTGCAATGAGAATGGCAGTCATAAAGTACTAATACTATTTGAATGTACTCAAGAATAATTATTTGAGAATGTTTCACATGATCTCTGGGCTCAGGAAAAAAAATCTTCACATTAAAATAATTAAATAAAGGAAACATAGCTTCAGAATAGCAGAAAAGTCAACCCTATTTTTTTACTATGTCCTATTCCTATCTCTAATAAAATGCTACTATTTTGTCTAGTATAAACAATTCAAAAATATTTGTATGAAATTTACATCTTGATAGTTACTTTTTCTTTTTTGTTTCTGTAAAAATACAATGTTGGAATGTCGCATGAAAGAGCATATTTACTAAGACAATATAGTCTATCTATTCAGTTGAATTTTTTGAAAAAAATGTAATCACCAGTCTAAACTTCAGGAAAGAAAAATAATGCTTCCAATATTCTCTAAAAGAGATAAGACTAAATTTCTCTCTCTCCCTCCCCCCCCTCTCTCTCTCACACACACACTCACACATGCACAAGACACAAAGCCCACATACTAAATACTCCACAACACACAAAGTGAATGTATTTTTGAAAAAAATTAAACAAGACAAGGACCAAAAAGCTAGCATTAGCATATCTGAGCAATAGAAATCCAGAAAACCACTGAATGGCAATAGGTAAAGATACACACATCTGGCACATTCTGATGCCTCACTGTTGAGAACAGTCAACTTGTGTTAACTTCGGGGGGGTTGATTCATAATGTCTTATATTTTTTTAATTCTAATACTTGCCATCCAATATTTTCTACTTATATTTCCCTTCATTCTGCCTTCTAATAGTCACTAGCTGTACTGTGAATTCTGCAGTCTTTAAATCCTTATTTATTCAAGAAACAGTCTTTGTATCAAAAACCTTTGAATGTGCCTTTGGGGGGGGGGCAACTTCTGCCAATCCACTTGCCAATTCCACTTGAATGGTTCAAGTGGAAACATGGGACTCTTAATCTTTTTCATGTCTTAAACCTTCCTTTGAAGTGTTGCTCATTCCAGCAATATCCTGTTTTGGTACACAGTCTCCCCCCCAAAAGTACAGCTGTGGTTGTAAATTATCTTGTCTAACTTATGGGTATTTCTCTCCAATCAGAAGATTCTAATGATCCAAGGATACAAGTCAGAAATGAAGGATGGATGGAACAAAGAAGTCAACTTTTTAGTATTGGACAACTTTGATACTTCCTATCAGTTTTAAATGGCTGATGAAAGTTCAATTGTCCTGGCTACAGGATTTTTTAAAAGTGTGATCTTTACAGCTCATTAAGTATCACTAATAATGAATTTTGATAAATGGATCTTGATTAAAGAATTTATTGCTGCAAAAAGCCTAAAAAAATCGCATAACACTTCCCCAAAGCTATTTTGGTTGTTTTTTTTTACCAAAGGTGTAACGGGGCTATATTTAGTTCCATAAAGCAGACTCTTTGAGTTTCCCTGCAAGACAATTTTTAGAATATAGAAATCTATTGAATATTTTTTTAATTATTGTTTTTATACAGCTGTTAAATGCACTGTTGTCTTAAACATGTGATTTAGATTTCAGTGTAAGAAGGATTTTAATTAATTCATTGTGACATTGCAAGTATCTTAAAGAAAGTTTCATTGTTCATTGAATCAACCTCCATGCAGGGGTGGGATTCTACCAGTTTGCACCTATTCGCTAGAACCGGTTGTTAACATTCTAAGAAGTTTGGAGAACCGGTTGTTAGAAGAAATTACTGGCATAATCCTGTAAAAGAAGGCAGGAAGGAAACATTCTGGTGTTTCTTACAGAAACTGCCTCTCCATTAACCCTTTTTTACATTCTTGGCAGGACTAGACTTTCTGTCTCAGGAACTTTTTTCCCCTCCTTTGCTGGTACTTTGCTTGTGTAGAGTTCAAAGTTACAATGGCAGTGAAAAAAGTGACTTATGACCATTTTTCACACTTATGACTGTTGCAGCATCCCCACAGTCATGAGAGGACAGGCAAGGAGATGCGTGCCTCAATGTGAGTGATACTGAGTTGGCTATGCCCAGCCAATAACATGACCACCAACCCACGCCCACCAACTAAGCCACACCCACAGAACCGGTTGTTAAAAATTTTGAATCCCACCCCTGCCTCCATGGAATACACTTTCTCTTATTTCATATGTAAAGCAACTGAATAGACTAAAACATAACATATGTAAGATCATCAACACAACATATATAATATGCTTTCATTTCTGAGGAGCTTTTTTTCACAGTGGAAAAATCCAATAATAACACCTGCTTTTCACGAAAGCCATTTTGTTTATTTTGCAGTGCTTTTAAGCAAATAGAGAGAAAATGATAAAAGAATTGCATAATAAAAAGGAACAAAGAGAAAATAGGTCAGAAAAATGCAAGCACACATAATAGAAATAGGGCTACAATAATGCAATAAAAGTGTAGCGATGATAAATTCCATGCACTTATTTTGAAAAAAAAAAGTGTGCTAAATTATGGAACAAAAATATTCCTAAATAAATAAATGTGACAGATGTAAATAAATGTAAACTGTATGAAATTATTTAGCAATTATTGTTGCTAAAGAAGAATCTAACATGGAATAAGTTTAGCCTTGTCACTAATTGTACATGATGGCTCAAAGATACCTAAATGATTACCTAAAATTCTTGCAGTTATACGAATCTGTAAATTTGTCTCACATCATTGATGCTTGTGGTCCAGGTTATAGACAGTGACTAACTTACTCTCTCCAGGAATATATGAAAAAGTTTTTCCAACTTTGTCTGGAGATAACACTGAAATATGGGCTGGCATTTTACCAATCATTTTCCTAGGGAAGGAAAATCACACTACTTATTCTCATCAGTAAAGTATATGAAAGAACCATCTAGTTCTCATATCTATGTACAATCCATATAAGACTTTTACAAATTTGTCATAACTTGTAAATGTGACCAGTTTTTTTTAGTTTCCTTCTATTATCTTCCTCTGCCTTGAAAGTAACATTTTCAGAAGCCTCTGTCCATTCTACATTTCCAGTTTTACATATTCATTGAAATATCTAAGACTGGATTGATCCATAAGCCTATTCCTTAGAATCTTATAACAGAAGGCTGCTTTCCCAGCATGAGAAATAGATCACCCCAACACAAGCAGCCTCAATACATTATTTTGAAAAAGAGCGTATCAAATTCAAAAATACAACCAACAAATAATAGGGAAAAAGACAAAGCGAATATGTAAACAATCTAAGCATATCATGTTATTAAATAGTAACAATTTATAAAAACTTCATTTTTTTAAAATTGACCTTTGTTGTAAATCAGGGGTGTAAAACTGGCAGCCCATGCATCATGAGCAGGGCATGCCCAAACCAGCTCCACAAAACAAAAAAAACATCACGATATGTCACGTGACAGCAACATGATGCCAGGAATTTGACACCTGTGTTGTAATTGAAATCTATGCCAAACAGAAACAAATTGTAGTATTTTTTTTTTGCTTTGATAAAAAAGATTGCCATTTCATGTATTGATGTCACATATTTCCTGAATCCAGCCCTAATATCCAGGATACTATTCTGCTGATTTCTCAAAACTTCGTAGTCAAGTGTACAGCCCTGGAGGCTAATTCCTAACCATTGGTGAGGGTTTTTTTTCCTCATCCATGCACAGCCAATATGCATGGATGAGTTACTACAATAGATATGTGTTACTACAACAGTAGTTGTTATGCTCCATGGAGATGTAGCCAATCTCTGATAACCCTGCAGATAAAACTCTCCAAGCCATCCTGTCTATTGTCACATTATATGAGCCACGATTGCGCAGTGGTTAGAGTGCAGTACTGCAGGCTACCTCTGCTGACTGCAATTTGACAGGTTGAATCTCACCAGACTCAAGGTTGACTCAGCCTTCCATCCTTCCAAGGTGGGTAAAATGAGGACCCAGATCGTTGGGGGCAATATGCTGACTCTGTAAAAGACTTAGAGGGGGCTGTAAAGCACTGTAAAGTGATGTATAAGGTACATTTCTGTGACTTTCAGTCCTCGCCCTATTCATTTCATGCACTGCCAATCCTGTCTTCTGCTTCTTTCATCTTACCCAACATTATAATTTTGTTCATAGACATCATCAGTTCTCATGATATCCCCCTTTTTCATGTTTCTTGCTTACTTTCTGATCATCAATTCAAAGATATGTCCTTATCTATATAGAGAAACAGAATGACCACGGCTGGGCAAAAATCAGTGGGAATGGCTTCTAACTTCCTGTTGACTTCCCCATTGAATTTCCTTGTAGGAAGCTGGCAATGAGTATCAGATATCTTCCTTTCTTCCTTCCTGTTCTTTCTTTCCTTTTTTCCTTCTTTCCATCCACCTCTTCCCTTATTCCTTCTTCTTTTCAGCATATGCTTATTTCAGATTAATTCAATTTTTATTAAGTTTTTAACAGCTTTGC